TGACTATCGGTAACTGTTCTTCCATGCAAGCTTTTGAAGACTGAACAAACTAGCCTTCCTAAGCTGGCTCTGATATATGCAGTTCTTACCATTAGAATTTCCCCCCAGAATGCCAATATGAAACAGCTTACCAAGTACTGCTGAAGAAGCTGGTCCTTAAGCAGCACTGGGAATGACATGACTTGGTATGTGCATTTCCTAGCTGTATTTTTGACAGAAATTGTGCAGCACTACCTTTTATTATTTTGCTGTTTGATGAGAAGGATCCTATGCTAGAAAGACAAGGGCTTTCATCTGTAAACACGAACAGTATCCTTTCCTGATTCTTATCTTGGGCTTTTTAAAATATGAGGTGATTCACATGGTGTTGATATCCAGATGTGGTGGGTTGCACTTGGAGATCAAGTACAGTGTGGAGATGTCTGTGTTCAGGAAAAACATTGTTTGTTTAGTTCTTACTTTCAGAGTCTCTTCAGAAAGGGAACAGCATATTTTAAGAAATGTATTCTTAGAGAAAGGGTGGAAAGAACCCTTTTAAAACATAGCAGCTTTAATTTGGCTCCTGAGGGATCATTCAGTTCTCACCCTCCTATTTTATTATGCCACCAGACTGCTTTTTAACACGCTTTCGAGAGGGCTCAGTTATCCTAATCTCAAACTCCCTCTAGTGGAAAAAAATGGTATGTGACTATACATGATTAGAAATCACTTGATTTTTGTAACACATGCTGTGTCACTTCCCCGTGGTACTAAATGCACTGGCAAAGTCTGAATAGACTCTAGTATAGATGCAGGCTCAGGAATTTCACTCATTGCTGCTAAAGTATATGGAGTCTTTTTGTGAAATTTCCATGCATACAAGTTTGCATAGAACATCAAAGTCATGGCTGAATAATACTTCCTCTCCTACTACGTGGGCTCTGAATTCATTAAGCAGGGTAGCTTGGTATGATGCAGATGGTGGAGGGCTGCCTGTGCCTCCATCCTGCTTTCTCTAGTGTCACCTGTTGTAGGTAACATAGAAACTGATGCCCTCTTAATATGCTGATAGTTGATAGTAATTATAGGCTAGTGGGAAAGTGTAAAATGATGTATTAGAAGGGAAACTGGACACTTTCTCCATCTATAACACAGAAATGGCTCTATGTGCAGTTGACTAGAAGGTCGCTCTAGTGAACTATTATGTGTTAAAGTAATGCAAGTCTGAATGAACATAAGCTGTTTAAAATGGCAGCTGAACAGCAGTCCCGATGCAATCATTCAGACTGAGAGTCTCTTGATATGATGGAAAAAGTGCAATATGTGGAGAGATCAGCATTGTAGTGCTGCTCTATCTCTGTATTTGTCAATGATAAATGTATCAAGTTTAGAAACTTGGGTATATCTGGGGAAAAACAAACAATTAAAAAAGAAAACCTTTCCATCATGATATTTTGTTTTACTGTATAAGCAAGTACTCAGGCTGTTTAACACATCATTTAAGTGTAGCTTTTAAAGCATTAAAAACATAAAAACATTAGGGCATTAGTAAATTGTTTTGGTACTTGCTATCTGCAATTGTGTAAATTACAGGACTCAAGCTAGTTCTCTATTTCCTGCTAAGTAGCAAAAAAAATAAGGTACCTTATAGAAATGTAACCTAGGTCTGATAAGTGCTGCTATTCCAGGTGGGACTCAACTTTAAGTGCTATGACACAACTACCTCTTAATTTTAGCAGCAGATATTTGAAGATGCAAACAAGAAAGGACTTCTAGGGTAAACGTTAATGACAGCTCCTGGCATTTGCTACTTACTTTGCTTACATTACAAAAGGACACTCCATACACCTCAGAGCTTCATTTCCTTGAAGAACGTCATCATAGATTGTTTTTCTTATTCAGTGTGTGCTTACCAACACTATGCTTACATATTGCACACAATGGAATTTCCATGAGCCATCATGTCCCGTGCATCTCCCCAAAATACACACTGTCACAGCAATTCTGATATCCTGAAATGGCTGATACCTGGCTTTGAAGGCAAAATCTGTAAATAAAAACAAAGCAACCTGTAGCAAACTGCTACTATAATTCGTGGGTATTTCTACTTTTCAGGGATTTCTCTTTTGAACTGCAACATGTCAGTAAAGTATGTGGTGTTAATATCTAGTTTCTCATGGTGGTGCAGTTTCATTAGTTTGTTTTTTTTATGAATACAGAACATGTAGCATTCAAATACTTACTCAGTGAGTGAATAGCTTTGTGGTGATGCAGCCAATGTCAGGAATAAAAGATATCAATTTGTTTATGAAATATTTTTACTTCTTTCCAGAAAGCAAGCAACAAATAGGAAGGCAAAAATGAGCTTATCCACAAGACTTAAGCCACAAAAGACGTTGTATGCTTGTGCACAGCCCAAAGCCTCCCCAGCCATACCTGGCTGTATATGCTCACCCCCTATGCAAACCCAAAAACAATGCAGTGTCAGCATTCGAAACATCACCTGTTCTCCCTTGGGAGCAGATTTGGGGCTGCACTGGTTCATGCCTCTGGCCCCCAAGCCAGTGGGCTGACAGGAGGAAGCAGAAGGGAATGCTCCTTGGCCCTGGTACTGCCTGCAGGCAGCAGTTGCCTCATTCTCACCCACTTAAAATAAAACACTGTAAGTCTGTGGCTGCACTGAGATTCAGTTTAATCCAGTTAAAAACTAATCAATACAAACTATGGACTGGGGCTTTTTTTCTTACATATATTGCACTGGAAGATAAAAATTTATACACCACTGACCAATTCTTACCCCTTACTCCTCATACTGAAATCCCAGCCAAGTACAGAACAAAATATCTGCGTCTTTGTCTTGGAACTGATGCCTCTATGAGATTACATTCAATTTTCCTGTAAATCAGCTCCTAAAGGAAAAGCAGAGTACAGGTCAAAGCACTGGTGCCCATGATATTCCAGTCCCTTGTTTATCTGTGATTATAGCATTCTACTTCCTGATATAGCTGCAAGTGAAGTTTTTTTAATCTCTTAAAAAGCTCCTGAGAAATCCATACCATAGAAGAAAACATGCTGTAAGTGGATAATGTAATACTTTCAGTCTCTTTGTGGATGAGAGAACCTAATGAAAGATGTCATTGTTGAAAACAAGCCATGTTAAAGGTCAAATCAGTTACGTGTTCCATGTGTAGGTGTGACTTCAGCAAGTTGCATAACTTCTAAATCAGATGTTCCTTACAGTGAGATAAAGTTTATCTCAGAATTAATCCTCAAAAATAATGTGATTTGATTATGTTCAGATTGAGACCTCATTAGCTTGGGTCTGAAGAATAATGTCCTTTCCCCAGAGGACAACAAGATGGGCAGTATCAGGTCAGGCTTGTTTGCTGATAGACTGGACCTGACTGACCTCTTCTGGGAAAATACCCACTCAGTCTTCGCTATCTATGCAGACATGTGGAACAGATAATGATTCATATAAGATTATGAATTGGACAAACAAGTATGAATCTGTAATTTGGACTCTCATCTCAAAAATGTTTAGGCAGCAAATGTAGGGTCTGCTCAGTAGGAGTTAACTTACTGCGACTTCCTCACAATTTAGCACAAACATTTGACAGCTGGACTACAGCTTTGATCACTGTTAGAGATAAATCCGATCAATAATTCTAAAGTTTAGAAAACTGCTGGTTTTTACTTCTAAAAAATGAACCTAAGTATATTGTTAAAATGCAAGCCTATCAATAAAATTAACACTGACAAGGACATTTAGGTATCAGACAGCAACTGAAGGAAAGATATGCATTATTTTATGCTGAATGCAGCTCAGTGGATGGTTGAAATGTAAAACTGGAACTCTTGTTAACTCATGATGAAATAATAAATGAAAACCCTGGCTTCTCCTAGGCATCTGCTTCAGACACAACTGACACTACCCTGTGGCTAGCATGAGATGAGTTCAGCACCCATGTTACGACAGTTCTTTATAAAATTCTCCATGTATTTAAAAGTAAATAACGTAAAGGGGATAAAATGTTTTTCTTCCGTTTCAGGGAGAGTGAGATTCTTAAAACTGAAATGTAACGCTGCAGTGAAAACAAAGCTTGAACTGTGGTAAGCACTTGAGAGCATATACTGCATTATCTATAATAACATTTGTGATGAGGCAGATATAACATAAAGGAAGAATGATTTGTATGGTAGAAATGCATTCAAATTAAAAGTTTCAGTCCTTGATTCTCTGAAAATATCTCCTGCTAAATCATTCTTTCTTTGTAAAATTTCATGTGGTACAAGGAGAAGGAAAAATGTCCCCTCCTTTTTCTGTGGTGTTAGAATAACTCACCCTTTGTTCTCCTCTTTCCTTGCTCTGCTCCTGATTATCATGCTTACAGCCCTATAGCCAAGACTCTGCACTGGGAAATGATGTTACACTGGTTGTAGCTGTAACTATGTCTAGTTCTTTCAAAAAGTTGTAGAAACATACTTCAGTCTCCTGACAAAGATATAAACTGATGTTAGAATTACATGGAAGTAACAAACAGTGGCTTTTGAAACTAAAATTAGAAACAAATTAAGATAATAATTAATTAATTAATAAAAAACAACTTGCAGAGAAAACAACAAAGTAAATCTAATTGCTGGATCGGCATAAATGAATGAAATGTGATGTCATAATTAACAAGATGAAACAGATAAAGAAACCTAATCTATTCCAGCGATGAGTTTTGTTATGTTGTGTAAAGAACATGAATCTGCTCAATTCTGCTGAAAGAAGCATTAAGCATGTAAGGAATATGACTAGCCTCTATCAATCAGAAGTCTTTAGTGAGAAACTTAAATATCAATACAAAACATTAGTAACTGCCACCTGTCTTTGAGTTTGCCTAAAATATCTGAGTATTGCTCTGAAAGGAACATCTTTTCTTAGGAGATGCCTGTTTCTTTGCTCAAAACCCAAATGATCTCTTTGAATGACAGTGTAAGCAATTAGCCACAGAAGCGGAAGAAAATACGAAGGATGCTTGCCAAGGTGTGTGTATATCAGTTCAGAGCCAACGTTATACAATCAGAACAATCCATATTTTTTTCTTAACAACAACAAACAAACACAAAGCTACAAAAAGAAGGAGGCTTTACACTCAGTCTGAAGTGGATGACAAGGAAGGACAATCACACAGCTTTTTGACGTTATAGCAAAACCCACAGGAAAGACAACTTTTGCTGCTGAGTTTTTGTTTTGTTGTTGGTTTTTTGTGGTTTTTGAAAAATCTTGGCTTACAATATGAGGGAGCTATCCTGGTTCTATACCAAAATAATACAATCAAGTAGCACCCTTGTTTTAGACATTTCATAAACCTACATCAACTAACTGCTGAAAGACAAATACATATTAACAGTGAGACTCTTAACAAGTCAAAGATTCATGTCTGAGAAGAGCTTTTAGAAGCACATGGTGCATTTTGAAATATCTGGTACTACCACAAGAGGTAGGAAAATCCGTGCAGAAAAAGACAGTGAGTCTTGTTCTGTTTTGTACAATATTTCCATCAACATAAAAAGCTTATTTAATAGCATGCAAAATTTTGAGATCACTTGGCACCTGATGAAAGAAACAGGGACAAAAGAACTATCCCCAGAGCCAAATGAGTGAGCCAACTGCTACAGAGAGTTAATCTTAATAAGGACAGTTCCGACCAATCCACTAGAAGTACAGTATTCCTTTTGAAAGGCTTACAGTGAAATTCTTAGACTTCTGTAAACATGAAAAGTATTCACTGTTACATGCAATTGTTTGTGGTGGTTAAATTTTAGAAAGTGCAAATTTTCTAAAAGTTAAGCATAAGAATTTTCATTTTTATTTGGTCTCAAAAGAAGAAAGTGGTTGGTAGTGCTGGAAATGGTAGGCCTTTGTCTATGATCTGTTTCCCTGTACTTTGCTTCTCAACATTTCTGGAAAGAGTTTCTACGTAAAACAAGACCTAACTTGATATTCAGTTCAGTTTGCTGCTGCTTCTCAGAAAAGGTAGCAATTCATGCCTAAACACACAATGGCATACATCTCCTCCCTCTTTTTATAACAGAATGGTCCAAGAGCTGAGTCCCTTGGCCGTAAAAACCTTTAATAATAAGTTTCCTTATTTTTTTCCTCCATTATAGCTGTTAAATGATCCCCACTGCCTTTCTTACTGATGTACTGGAGAGAAAATTAATTTATGATTCAAGTCTGATTGATATTTAATCTCTAACATTCCTGGTGATTTTACAATCTGGAAAAGAAAGTGGAGAGTTCATTACCCTTTTTTTTTTTTTTTTTTTTGTCCCTCTCCCTTTCCTTTTTTACCCTCCCCCCAAAATAATAAAGATGCTATAAAGTTGAGGCACGAGTGGTTAAGGGTGAACTTGATCAGTTCTAGCAGCTGGTTCTTGGATATGTCCTGGTGGTAAAGGCTGATCACCTCCTGCAGGATGTTTTGGTACTTCTTCAATTTTGTGCTCGCCAGCTGTAAAACAGAAATAAAACTGCTTAAAATTTCTCAATTAAATGAATTCCGCATGTGAGAAGTCTCTAAAGTAATGTTTCTAGTGTACAGACAATCAAACTGAACCACCTGTTTTTATTTTGTAATTGGAAGCTGGAATTTATGTGACTAAAAATGAAATCAGATTCAGTTTACCCAACAGGCTGCAAAATGATAATATTCAGAATTTCTTAGATTACTAGTTGCTTCTGTTTTCAGTAAAAATGTTTTTATTTATATAATCTTTTTGGATACTAATCTTTCTAAAACATACTACATGTTTATGAAACCTTTAATCATAACATAGCAAGCTTGAAAAAAAAAAAAAAGAACAACTTGCTTCTGTATTTTAATCCTTACTGCGCTGACAATCTTTACAACTTCCTCCCTTTGCCTCCCTCAGAATGCTAGCTTTCATAGTTGGGACTTCCTTAACTCAGACATTGAATAGTGAATAGTTTTGGCTAATAAAATGAAAGCTTAGGATACTTGTCTAATAACTTACAAAAACTTTTTACATAAAAATAATACAAGTTTTAAGAACACTATCAGTTACTTGGCTATTACTCTCTTAGCTGTATCCTGGAATTCCAGATTGTAATCCAGAATTGTGGTCCCAGTCTCTGGCTGGGGCCAAGCCACTGTTAAAAAATATATCACTAAAAACCAAGTCCAAGAAATCTGCTATTACAAACTGTGTTTTTACTGAAGGGAAGACAAACTATTGTAACTAAGGATTATAATTTGATATTAGCCCCAAGCAGTTTTGAAGCAAATGAAAGACAAAATGAAACTGCTGTTCAAATTCCATTGTTTCTTGCTTTGCACATAAAACTGAGTAGCTTGAGGATATAATTCCAAGATACTCAGCAAAGTGAGCTGTAATCACTGAAAATGGCATTTCAGGTTTGAAACCTCACTGTTGGCCCCACAGGTGCTGTTAAGTCCTTCCAATATTCAAAAGGCTGACTGGATACAGCCCAAAGCTTTATGTTCAAGATGTTAAAAATTCCTTGAGCTGTACTGACAATGTTAGCACATAAACATGGAAGCCAATAAAGCCATATTAGTGGGGAGGAAAATGTTTGGATGTATGGAAGAACAGAGGTAAGAAGTGCTAAAATATACCTGGCCTCTTTTTTGTTACCAATAATCATATGGAATGATTTATTGTGACTTTATTGTCTGTGCATGTTGAAGCAATTGGTTGCTCGTGTTGTCTTAAACTTGTCACATCATGTTATGCTAAATGCAGAGAGAACAGACATGTTGAAAGCATTTCAATGTTTTGATTTGTTCCCCAGCCAGAGACTGGGACCACAATTCTGGATTACAATCTGGAATTCCAGGATACAGCTAAGAGAGTAATAGCCAAGAGACAGCTTTCATCTAGCTGCCTAACTACTGATAGCCATTAAATGATAGGTGCGCCAACATTAGTGCTTGTGCAGACATCTTGGGATCAGGAGCATGGTTGTACAACAAGCAATGAAGCTTAAATGACTGTAATTTCACATTCTTGCTATTCAATTGAGGTATATTACAACATGTTTGCGCAAGGCAAACTACATTTAATGCACCTATCTCTGGTAATGCAGCCACAGGACATTAGATAGGTGTGGTCATTTGTATGCCCCTACTCTTCTCTGAATATCAGACTTATCCTAGATCTCTATTTTTAGACTGACATGCAAAACACTCCAACAAACTGCAATCTTTTCTCTGTCCATCTGGTGCTGTAAGTTAGAACTCTTTTTTTCCCCCCTACAAATATAAAATTGCTGAGATTTCAGTAGCGTTTTAAAAGGCTTCCATACTTAAAGACAGTTTAGTGAGCCTCCCTACAGAGATCATTAAAACCACATCATATTAAGAGTTTGAACAGAAAATGTATTTTTAATGACTGTAGTGCCGGAGATCTTAAAGTACACAAACTTTACAGAAAGATACATACGGGGTTGGAATTTCAGTTCTCCAGCTGGTCCTGCAGGCGGATTTGCTTGTTGTAGTTTCTTTTGTTCCATCTGTTTTACAACCTGGTGAAAAACAAAGTAACACAGTTGAAAAACTTCACTGTCAACTTTCTCTGATATAAGTGAATACACACAGGAAATATGTGCACATCATTACGTTGAGTCTTGGTTAGCGGGAAAACTACTGAGTTGAGATGCTTTCACTGTTTGCTCTGAAGTAATGGATTATGACATGCTGCAATAATGCTGTTGTTTAAAATTCAACTGAGATTCCTAAGAGAAATCAAGATGAAAGACGCTGCAGAGCTGGGGACTGTCATAAGCCTTTACATGTATAAGAACACAGAAGAGAGAGAAAAAATTCTGTTGTCACAAGTGTACCTGCTGAAGCTCTTGTTTCTGAGCCTGAAGCTGGTCATGCTGCCTCTGTAGCTCCTCCTTCTGTTTCTGAAGTTCTTCTGCCTTCTTTCTGAGTTCATCTTCCTGCTGAGAAATATGACTTTCAAATTCCTTCAGTTCATCCTCAGTGAAGAGCTGCTGTTGATCTAATGTCTGCAAGAAAACACAAACATGAATACTTGGGTAGGAATGCATATCTATTTTGATCATATTTCCACTGAAATAATTATTAGCTGAATTGTACAGTTCACTAGATGTCACTAAATGATTATATAAAGAGTTGGTATGTTTACTTAAACAGTACAATAGCTATTTCTCAGCTATTTTCTCAGCAAGATTCTACTACAGATTTAGAGGTAAGAGGAAAAAAAAAACCTCTTGCTTCCAACTGAGCTTGTATCTCCCCTTTAAAGTGATTCATAAATGAAATGTGCATTTTATGTTTGAAAAGCATGTGGATAAAGATCTTCTAGGATCCACGTGGTGGCAGTGCAAGACCACTTCTGTCTGTGTGTGGACCACAAGGATTACATCTGTACAGTATTAGTCTGTTACATTTTGTACATTGCATTTAGCTAGGGCGTTTAACCACACACATACCAAAACAGGATTGAAAAAAGGCAAAGGTCAGACACATGCCATTTGGTTTCCTGGTTAGAGTGATGGTAATAGTACAGTATGTTGCACTTGGAATACATTCTCATTACCTCCCAGCTATCTGGCTCCAAAAATTCTTTTTTTTCTGTAGCTCGCAGGAACTCTTCCAAAGTTACTAATCTGTCCTTGTTGATGTCAACCTGTTTGAAGCAAAAAAATAAACTCAGGATGGGTTCTGGTAGAGAAAACATTTGAACATTTAGTTTTGTTACGTCAATATCTTCAAATACAACCATTTTATTTTTAAAATATCCCATTTTCAAATGAATGCCTGCAACATCTTCTAAAAATGTTTCTTATAAGCTCATATAGTTTAATAAAAATGGAAATAAAAAGTAAATCCTCACATTTCACTTGGAATTAATCAGAAAAACGTGTGGCTGCAGCTCCAGTGCTTTATAGTAGCATGCCTGATGTTTTTGAGAAAAAAAAAAAAATGTAGCTTTTTGATAATAACAGTGTAATTCTGAGTCAGAGCAATCTCTACTGTTGGATAGGGAGATTTCAAAACAAAGCTGAAACTGTGTCAGAAACCTTTAAGGGGAAGAGAAGAAATTCCTTCCTTCATGAAAGTCCAGGCTTGCTCCAATCCTCACGCTTAAGAAATAAAGTTGAAGAGAGAAAAAATGCATGCGAAAAGAGAGTGATTCAAAACATCATCTTCCTTTCCTCTGCCTCCTGAACAAAAAACTAATGAGAACTCATTGTCATAAATAATGCCTTGAGCTCACGTCTCTTTTGAAAGGACAAAAAACAGAAGATAGTGCTTTCCTTTGTCTTTCCACAGAATATTACCCTACTGCCAAGTGTAAGAGGACATTCACAGTCTTCCCTGCTTAACAAAATTCACTGGGAATTTGTATTAAATCTGAGTATTTTCAAAGTGAGGCTATAGTACAAGTCCTCCTCTGGAATTTCTTTAAATAAAAACAGATCTAGTCTGCAGACATTTACACTGACCTAAGATAGGAGCTGAAAACTGTGGCTTTCTGATCTCAGCACTAATAACAATGTTGAGCCCTTCTGCTGTACTTAAACAATCCTTAGTATTAGGACTATTTTTTTTTTAATGTAGTAGGAAAACATCAGCTTTATTAAACATCAGTCTATACCTCATTCATTACGTGTTCTCTCATTCTCAGCCTCTCTTCTTCCATTTCAACCATGTCATCTTCTTCATTTTTTGGATCATAAACTTTTTCTAGCTGAAATTCAAATTTAGCAAATGTTATTTTGTAGAAACGACTGCTAATTCAAATGATGAATTTGGAGTAGTAGCTTGAGACAGCTGAAAACGTGAGTTCAGCATTTTTCCAAGCATGTATAAGAGATTTACACTTATTTTTTACCATAGTATTTAAGTAACAAGCGAACATGTCATCGCTGCTAAGGAAGAAGTTCTCAGTTAATTCATGTGCTCTACTGAAATTCAATGCTTTAGACATCGACCTCAGCATGCAGTCTGCATTCATGTTTGATTCAAAGCAAACTGAGTTTCCAGAGTTTCTTGAATAGGAAAGAGCAATTCTTTTTTTATCTGAGCATGCTGTCCACAGCATAAGCATTCAGGATATCAAAAGATAAACTGAGTGCTAAGCTTAATTGTCCACTTCTTTTCTTAAACAGTGTCTTTCTGGTGAGTTCATGCATTTTTTTGCTTCTCTTTTGTTTTCTAAGCAATTTAGCTTAGCTTTCTTTGTCATAGATGAAAAGGCCCCAGATTATTAATTTTTAAATCACAACACTGTGAAATGCTGGGACATACTTGTCAAAAAAGACTGCTGTACATTTTTGTAGCACATAAAGGGATTACAACAACCATACCGTTAAAAATTAGTACTTTGAAAATTTCACTTCTACAGTAGTTCAGATTTATAGTCTTGCATATGTAACATAAAGCACATTTACTCCCTGATTCATGAAATCGAAAAGGAATTCTAACAAATTCTAAAGCTCATTAGTGCCAGCTATAATACTGGATCTTTGCATGGGAAGCTTTTCTTTGTTACAAGAAGACAGAACCTACCAAAAAAACACAAAGGCCAAGGCCTTCTGTTTACTCACTGTTTCTGAAGTATCAGTATCTTGCTGCCACTCTGGGAGGCAAAAAAGTACTAATATTTCTGCTTTTTAAGTGCAGCTTACAGAAACTAAGGGGTTGCCTGCCTTACCAAATCTACCTGTGATCCAAACTAGCTAGATGCCAATAATGTGAAATCCCTGCTGCCACTTCTACAGCGTGTTGTCCTTCATCATATAGCACTTAGATCTGATGAGGCAAATGAATTCATTCTGATTCTTTGTGAAGAAATACAACCTAAGTATTCTCCAGTGACTGTGACCCTTTTTCTCTCTATAAGGTTTATGACTGGCACTGAGTGTGCACAGCTACTCAACTTCAAAACCTACTGGACTGCATTGAGTCAAAGCAGATTTGCAGCTCTACACCGCAAATTGTACAGGTATACTGTCCAGAGGATTAATAATGAAATCTCAATTGAACTTCTGGCAGAAGAGTATATCATCAATAAATACATGTCTATTATCTGAGTCCTAAGTTTGAAATACTTTATTTTCCCAGCTTTTGTATATTTTTACAGTTGTGTATAAATATTAAGGGTGCTTAAATATCAAAATAAATTGTTTTATTTGTAGTCCAAAACCTCCATATGCATTTGAAGAAAAAACAGGCATTCCTTCAAATATTTTTTTTAAACAAGTGAACCTTCAGATTTTTTTTTTTTTTTTTTACCTCTTTTGTAAATAGAGCTTCCAATTCTTGCTCATCCAAGAAACGATCATTATTGACATCTAAAATAAAAAGTGTTGAAAATATATGTTAATTATGGACAGAAAATCTCCATGAATTAAGCATCAGTGCATACATCCCACACAGATTAAAAATATAGTTTAAGGAGATTCTGGTTTCATAGGCCAACTTTTCTGTTCTGGCTTTTATCAAGAATCAGCTGATCTGTATCATCATTTTTCACTACCTGGCTGTTAACAAGTGATTGGATAAGTGTGAAGTATTGCCCCTCGTTCTCAGCAAGCTGAATTAGGTCACAAGACTGCACCCAGTGCAATTGCCAAAAAACATAGCTGAGAACAATTTGTCCCAATTTAACAACTAAATCTGTAAACAGACCCAAGAATAACAGAAGTGAACAGAAAAATATTGTTAGCCAACAGTACAATTCCAAAATAACAACAGAATTTTGTAAAAATGTACGTAAATATGCAATGCTTAAAAAAACAGCAGTATAAAATTAGTCTTGATGACCAATGTAAATAAGAGAATACTTGGTAACAATCTACTTTGCATGCTACATCCAATTCTGAATAATGTTATAAAACCTCTGAAATAGAAAGGGAATGGCTACTTTAAATGAGTTATTATGCAGTATTTTTTGTTTAATTCAAAGTTTTTGATGCAGAAGCTCCCAGGGAAAAGGTTATTTTGGCTACTGCTGTTTTGGAATGACATGCATAAAATAAGTACTAAAAATTTTCAGATAATTATGTTTCAAGATCTCTTCCTACAAAGAAGAAATAAGGCTTTCTTTCTATATATTTATAAACCAAAATAAAAGGCTAGACTTTATCTATAACACTTTAATTAAATTGTCGTCATTGGCATTAGTCAAATTTTTTGTACTATCTAACCCTTAATAGTCCAATGACAGATAGGTTCTGCTTAAGGATACCCGATTATGAAGCACTGATCAACATTAGCTACATATTTAAATGATCTTATTTAAAGCAAAATGCCTACTGAGATGCATCCTTGTCTCAGCTACTATTTCACTGTTTCTAATCACAGACTGCTCAGAAATGTATAGGAAGTGTTGAGAAGCACTTTGGACTTGTTTTTTTTTTTAAGGCAGTATTAGAAGTGTCAAGCAATTTCAGAAGTTTCAAGACCACTTCAAACATAAGGAGTGTCTGGTACTTCTCTGCAAAGATGTGAAGAAAGCAGGTTTTCCTCAACACACCCCTGAGGACTTATCTTTGGTGTACAGTGTATGAGCAAAGTTACGGCTGTGGACAGACCTGTAAATACTCTTACTTCACTGAGCAACTACTTCTGGTTACTTGCTGTTTCATTTTTTGAGCATTTAAACAAAATTCCATTTTTACCATTTAGGCCACATTTGACTCCACAGTAGATGTGGACACTAACAGATATTTTCTCCTCTATACCTTTTGGATTCACTCAACTTGCTTGAGTTCTAACTCTTTTTCCCAGCATAGTGCAAATTTGCTGAAAATATCTTTTGCTGAGGACATAAAAGAAAGTCACAGCATTTGCTAATTAAATTAATGTTAAACCAATCTCTTACCATGTAATTTGAAGAATGTTTTGGGGTCAAACTCATTTGGATCTAGCCCATCTGCTTCTTCCCACACCTCTTTCAATTGATCTTTGCTTCCCTATAAATTGGTTACAAAGAAAAAATATTCAAAAGATGATTAAGTGTACTTTTACAGCCTTCCTTTGCATACTTGTATTACAGTTTCTCCAGTTTCTCTGACAGGTTTTTTCTTTTTTTTTTTTCAATTAGTAATGTTCAAAATATAATCATTATAATTTCCTTTAATTCAGGTCACATACTTTTACTAGATAGAAAGGCCTAAGGAAAAAGACAAGGCAAAAAAAGGTATATTCTCAGGAAAGGAATGCCTGTAATTATCAGTCATTGCCACACAGACTCATCTAGCTGAAGTAAATTCAATCAGTTGCTGCTCCTACAGCAAATTGTGCTGCGATGCAGTTCCCTGCAGGAACCCCTACATTTTCAAATACCCTTCTTTTCTCTTTTTGTGAATTTTAGCTACTTGGTAAATAATAATTCTGCCAGTAAATAGAATACAGAAAAAAGGGAAGTATATGTGGTGGACTTTCTAAAGCTCTCAGCACTGCTTCTATGTCAGTGAAAAGAGGCAAATCATGAGAAGAAACATAATACATCCTTCTCATTATCAACTGGAAAGGAAACCCTCCTTCCAAATACATAAGAATAGACTGCAGCCTTACAGGATGGTGAACTTTAGGGTGATCTCCATGTTTCTTTTTCATCTCTTCAAATTTGGATTCTTCGCGCTGCCTCTTTTCTTCATCCAATGTTTTTAAATACTCTCTCCTCTCATGTTCTTTCATCATTTCATATTTCTTGAATTCCTCATGGCGGGTTTTATCGTAATTCTCCAGGTCACTTGTAGCCTATAAATATAAATATTATGTACATATGATTACACCACGTGACTATGTTAATGCATGTCATACATTATCATGTGAAAAACCATCGTCCAGGTATGTGGACAAGGCTGTCCATATTGCCACTCCCCTCTTAAACAAGAAGTAAACTGGTTGGTGGTCCTCCTTTCCTTGACAGCAATACAAAAACATCTTTCCCCATTTCTTCTATTACCTTCAAAGAACAAAGTTTGCAAAGGTTTGACTGCTTAGAATTCTTTTGCAACTAAACTTCTAGTAAGAAAGCATTGAGGTATTCTTTCTCATTAGTTAACAATAAGGTATGTTCTGGGCTAAATAAGCACAGCATCAAATAGTATAAGAATTTCTAGTTTACCTTTCCATTAATAATGCAGTATTACAGTGCTACTATCCAGCAGCTTATTACACATTAAATCAACAAAACCACTTAAATGGAGAGAAAAGTGTGAGAATTTCTGACATATATAAGACTTAAAGCTGTATCATTTTCAGTTCAAGTTATTAAAAGATATAGTCTTCTAGTGCTTTTCAAAGTAACACATTCATACCTGAATAAAGTCTTTCTGCTATTTATAATTTTTTGATCAATTGAAACTCTTCATAAATGATTCTAACACCTCCACTACCCCCCATTACCCATTACAATAGGTCAATATCTCAGCTGACAAGAGAAGAAAAATGATGTCATAAGAGAAAGAACTGCCCTGCTGAGGATATGCTTCTCCTAACTAACTAGAATTTTCTCAGCAGCGATGCTCTCAGAAACAGCAAGAAACTTCAATATATGTGTAAATATATATAGAGAGAATAATTTTACAGAAAAATTGAGATTAAAATTTCCAAGGATAGAAAAATCTACAAGAAATGAACAAAGCTTAAAATAGATTTTATTTTTAAAAAGTCTTCCCATTTACTCTGAAAATATAAAATGCCTTCTCATGAACGGAGTGGTGTCATACAGCTGAGACTAAGTTCTCTTTTTTCCCCTCAGGGAAATATATTTTTTCACAGCAGTTGAAAAAACCTATTCCATGCTTAGTTTAACTGTATTGTCTTAATAAACACTGACTGGAATTAAAAAAAAAAAAAGTGTCACTTGTTGATGGTATTTGGACATCAAATTCCATGCTCAATACATGCAACTTCTGATATTGGTATCTTAATTCTGCTCTCCTTCAGATGTATGTATAACAGATCCCCAAATTCAAATGGCTAGTTTAGGGATGACTATTTATGTCACTGTCAGACACTTAAATCACTTTGAAATAGGTTTGGGAGAGATGTGCCTCTCTCAATACTGTGCTTAATTCAAGTGCTTTCAGAAAGTTGTGTTTTATTCCCAAAGTTGGCTGTACTGGCACGTGAATGCAAATCCTGTTAAGATGCCATGCCAAAATGTATGGTCTCTTCAGAAACAAAGCTTTCAAGTGTGCCACGCAGATAACTGACTTTTCTCTGAAACAGAGAACTGCAAGTCATTCCTTTAAAAAAGAAAGAAGAAGTACATGTAAAGTGTTTGCCTTTACCAGATGAAAAAATGTAATTAATACAAATAAAAGAAACCCCCAGCATTTTGTATTTAACACTTACTGCTTTGATCAACATATCTAAGTCCTTAGGCTCAAATGTGTCAGGATTCTGATGGTTCAGGTGCTCAAACTGTTTAAGGAGAGCCTGATGGTCTATGCCAGTATCTGAAAGAAGGAGGTACAGGTACAAACATAAAACATTAAAATAAGTTTGAAAGCAAGAAAGATCAGGAATTTCAGTCCTTTCGCAAGGTGTTTGTGCCTTGAGTGTCTTATCTATGTTAACACTTATAAAGCAGATTTACCTGAAGGAGATCAGCACACTTGATAGCAATTTGCACTGTATTCCTTTTAATGTGCCAGGTGTTGCACTGCACACAATAATTTCATATACTGAGGTTTGCCTTTCAGCAAGAAAATGTACAATCAGTTGAGCTCTACAAACCAAAACATTTTCTTCTTCTTTTTTTTATATAAATGAGATATAACTTCAGCTATTACAGCTAACAACTTGTATCTGAGAATTCTAGCTCTTCTAACTTGCCCAATGTATTTTGTGAATGAAACATTCACTGTGTGTGTATGTATGTATCTAGATAGATGGATATGGCAAGATACATGGTTGAAAATCAAATCTGATAACCAGAAATTCAAATTTCATTTGTGCAAAACAAGAAACATAGGACAGCAGAGAGCCAAGTCCTTTCTCTAAAAGCTGCAAATGTTTCTCCTTTCTTAAGACAGGGGCTGTACCCAATAATATCAGTATACAATGCATTAACAATAAAATACATTTCTACAATTACAAGCTTTTCTAGCTGCTTTGTTTTCTGACTGTTAATGCTAAATAATAATGTTATCTTAAGCAGCTTGTGCTTTGGTATGTTATGGGTAACAATTCTGAACACCTTTTACTAAATGAGCTGGTAAAAAATACTTGATTCATCTTAAAAAAATAAATTAAAGGAAAACATAACTCCGAACTTGTTATCCTGTGGTAAACTATTACACTCAGTGTTGTATTCATATTATCACAAAGCAGCAAACATTGTCTAGGGCACATTTATCCCTGATGAGATCATAGTTTTTACTGAAATATACACGCCTTAGTCTGTTTATGGAATGTTTTTTGGAAGTGTTGTATTAGAATATTTAAAAAACAAACAAAACAATAAAATCCCCCCAAATCTATTTATGGAGAAACAGTTCATTCAATTTGACAGTATTTACTTGTCACATTATTGTATTATCTGAAAGTTGACCCTGGAGACAATCATCCAACTCCTAACATTCTTGTCCTGTATTAGTCAGTCTAGCAGGATCTTGGTACAAATGTTTAAAAACACATCTGGATCAAGACTGAATATATGAAAAACATATGTACAAGTCTGTTGGACCTGATCCATCTGAGTGCAAATAAAGCAGGTCTTAATCAGATAAAGGACCAAGATATTAAGTTGTACCATATGGAAAATATTAAAAGATCAAATACAAGGAAAATCAAACAGCTCTACCTGCTGTTACTACAGAATGCATTTTTGTTCGTGTCCCAAGGTGCTGCATAAGCATATAGATGCAGCTGTACTTTGTAGATAACCTGACCATACAATTACATGTGATGTGAAATATTCAGTGGCAGGGCTCACTATCAACTTTACAAAATTTTTCTGAATTGCACTGGTTCACATTAATAGTCATCTGAATATTTTGAAAAGGTATAATCTGCTCCAGTTCTTTCCAAATATAATATCACACTTACACAGTGACAGAATGTGTAAACATGCTTGATCTGTTGCAGCTGCTGGAGTGCTTGTTGCAATATAGGCATGAGATTAGGCTCTTTGCAACTAAAAAGCCACTTAAGAAAAAAGAACCACAAGGTCTGACAGGTATGTGAGGCAATGCACTGACTTCCTGTGGAGGTCTGGTATGCACTGTCCAGCTACTGGGGGACTGTACTCTCTGAATTTGTACTCTCTGAATTACAACTTTCAGAAAAAGAAAGCAAAAAATAAAAAGGTTTGTATGGGAACTGCTGAGTCACGGCCTGAACCTCTGATTAATCACCTGAGGTGAGCAATGAGTCAGCCATGGGAGCAAAGGTGAAAGCAATTCACCTGTGCTGCAGGAAGGGGTGGAGCCTGGCTCCACCTCTCCTAGACCAATTTAAGAGCTGACTACCAGTAGGGAAGGATCTCTCTTTCTCTTTCTTTGGAAGATCCATTCCGCTGGAGTTTCCTGAGCGAGCCCACGACACGGGTAAGCATCCTATTTATTCTCTTTGTCTCGCTGTGCCTAACTCTCTTGCTTATTTCATTATTATAACATCTTAATATTATTTGATTATATAATATTCCTTGATATAATTTTCATTGATTATACACGGTTATATTGAAGTTCTCAGCAAACTCTATATTCTTCATACACTATATTATGATAGTATTGAAAGTGTTCACTGGAAAGGAACTATACTAAAAATACCTCCTTTCACAAATTAATCTGATTTTTTTCCTAACTCCAGTAATAGCCCCTAGACACATCTGCATATACCCACTTCTTTGGCCTACCTGCCACCTCTAAGTCTGGCTTAATGGGGTTAGGATCCTTCTTCTTGGTCTACTTCAAATTGATACACTACCTAATCCAGTCAGTGTGATCCTCCCTGCAACTTGATAATGTTTTTAATGAGCAAGAAAACAATCTGCTCAAGCAAATTCAGTACTTACATCATATTTGTGAAAAACGCCATTTTGAAATCAAGAACATGCAGTCCATTGTTACAATCTTTATCTCTGAGAAACTAATTTGCTTCAAAAAGTGATACCTAATAAGAAACTTACAGATCTCACTCTAAGTAAAAACCTTAAAACTTCTTCAGTAATAAATAAAAAGAGATAGTAAGTGTTATTTCCCAGTTCACTATGCACCAAACAGATTATTTAGGAATATGTATACTTAATTCATTTTAACAAACTATGTAAGTTTGAGCAATTTAATTATTAATTAAAAAATGCTATGGATAAGTTTCTGCACCTTAAATGTTCCTCTTTACTCAGGACCTTCAAATTGCCTCAAAAATAAGAAAAATCATCTTCTGAACTGAAATGTTTAACATTTGACATAAATCTGTAAAACGGCCCCCTTTCCACCAGTAATAACTTAAAAAGAAACAATGAAAACATAATGTTAAGTGGCTATTAATTAAAAAAAAAACTACCTGAAATACATGAAACGGTCTTGTATTCTAAAATAATCAAAACGTGGCTATTTCTCAGTGAGTTATTTGTAAGTTGATGCACTACAAAAATACCCAAAAAAGCTGAGAAAGGATTAGATGCATCTGAAAAATCCACTGCCCGAATCAAGTTTAGCTATTTATAAAATACAGATGGCTTTTATTTTCTCCTCAATTTCCTATAAAGATACATATTTGTTGTCCATAGGCTAGATCAAAAAGGACGCTCTTACTTTCAGAAAACAATTATTATTATTGACATCAAGGACAGTGTAACTTAGATTTTGTCTAGCTTGTATTGGACAGGTGCCCAGTTCACCTTCTTAGTTTTTGTATTCTTACCTTGAACAGAATCCATCTTGGCTTTAATTAACATTCTTAATCTTGCCACCTCTTGTCGCTTGAGTTCATCCAGTCGTGTTCTCACATGGTGGCTTACTAAGTCAAGCTCTCTGCTTAGTTTTCCACTCTGTCAAAAAACAAAACTGATCTATAAAAACATAAAAGAAAGCAGCCTTTACTATTCCCATTATATATGAGCTGCAAGACAGCAGACCAGTCGTAGTTTTTCTCATAATGTAGCCCATACATACAAGAATCTCAAAAGTCTTTCAGTGAGCATATTAAAAAAATTTTAGGCCCATGGCTATAGACACAGAGCAGAATCCAGAAAGGTTTAGAAATTCCCTTCAGAAACATTTGTTCCTTTTAAAGAGCATAAGCTTGACCTTGCAGCAGAAATACCTTGTGAGGTTCAGAAATAATAAATTTCTTGATCAAACATTCTCAAACTAATTCAAAAGAGCTGCAAGATGAATGCACAGTGCTTTTTCTTCAGCCACTTGATGACAGCTGAAACAGTTGGGAGACGATACAAGCACAGCAACAGCCTTTAATGTGTACTGCAAGCATACTTATCGGGCTCTGGTAATTCATAGTAATCTTCAAGAGTAACCCCACTTATAGCACAGAAGAAAGTGGAATCAAAAGCTGCCGATGGCAACATGAGGGATTAAAAGAAATGCGAAAGGCAGGATTTCCTCTCTGTTGCTTTAGGCTGTTTCCTGTCTGTCTCGTGCAAAATTTCTAGCTCATAAAAGGAGAACATGGAACAGCTACCATACAGAGCCACTGGAGTGCAAAAGACAAAAACACAATGAGGTTTTGGGAGCGTGTGCTATTTGGACTGGTACTCAAGAAAGGACAGCAGAGGAGAATGCCAGAAGTCTATCTTATACCTGACTTCAGCACGCTGACATTGCTGCTAGCACAGCTTCTCAATTTCCTCAGAATAGAAAACGTGGCTTTCTTGTAATTCTCTTCCATGTCTTCACATCAACAAATGATACACCATCTTCACTTCAGAAGGCATATAAACCTCTGTTTGAAATAGTGTTCCAAATCACCCAGCAGGAAAAACTGAGTGAGAACTAGGCTTGCAGCTTTCTTGTGGTACATCTATCTGTGATGTATCTATCTGTGCTGAATCTGAAACAGCTTTTTAAATAGATGGGCAGAAGGCAGAAACCATGCACTTGAGTACTTATATTATTCTATGGGATATTCTTTAACTAACAGAAAACTTGCTGTTCCTTTACTAAAGACAAAGCTCTATAAAGAGATGAATACCTAGGTAAACAGAAAATGTCTCACAAAATATGAAGACTTTAACTATATACAAACGTCCATCTTGCAGGGTTCATTATGACAGACTTAATTAGCCTCAATTAATATACAATATACTCACCTTTATTTCTTCTATGTCAGCAGTCTGGAGTTTCTCCCTGAAATGCTTATCTGTTTCCAAAACGTCAATTACTTGCCTGAGATATTCATCGTAATAGAGCCCTGTATCCTTCAAAAAAGAATGTTAACTTTAGAATAGAATATACTGTCAAACAATACATTTCATGTAAATACTATCATATAACTGAAATCCAATTCTCAGCAATACAAGTATTACAGCTCTTTTATATATCTTCTACTTTTGTGAACTGCATCTTTGTCTTGTAGGAACTTAGAATTAATTTGTTTCAGCAACAGATGACAAAGAGGAGAAAGGCATTGAGGAAACCACGTTGTATGCAAGCATCTATCACGTTAACATAGTGGGGCTTTTCAAACAGTGCAATTCATTAATTGTAAGAATTTAAGAGTGGTTCAGAATACTGCTGTTCTTTTCTCCCAGATGCAAAAGAATGTTGAGACTATTTGCTGCATTTCCTAGAAAACCGCCTTTAAAAGCAGCCACCTCCAGTCTGCCAGAAGCAACAGCCAGAAGTTTTACTTGGCTTTAATCAGCATATCTTTCAAAAAAAGAAGCAGATAGCCTGTTTGGGAAACATTTAAAGCAAATATAAGATTAATGAAACTGCACTGAGGACAGATAAACCAGAGCTACACTCAGGACTTAGCCTACTAGATCAGCTAAGGTTCCTCTGGCATATGCTACACTCTGATTTTTCCTATGGTAGTGCGGTGCAAATGAAACACTCTCCAGAAGACCAATCCAGAGCAAATACAACTGTGCTAGACAGAATAATTCCATTCTGGAAAGAAAGAAAGTCTGCTTTAATAAAAGAATTTATTTGGCTCTCACAGCACAACATCACTGTTCAGCTATTAAAAGCTGATATTGGAGATTTGTTTCTTGACAAAAACAGTTGGCACTTCAGGAAATTTGAGATCTCAAACTCATCTTTATGACGTGCTCGTGGCACTCACAAACACAGTATGTCTGCTGTTGAAAAAAAATTCTGTTTCTGAAATGTCGTTGAATTCTCCTAATCAAACATTTTCCTTTTCGATTGGAAACAATGAACTGAAAACACTGAATGGAATTTCCTAAGCCACCACTCAGTCACTTCACAGAAGACCTGTGAAAAAATAAACAGTTCTTTCCATTGTATGCTGGGGAATTCAATTCAGTTTGCTATCTCACCTTTACCAGCTCCAAGAAGTGAAAGAGAAAAGAGAACAAATATAAATGGAACCCCACCACAGCAGATAGCATGTTCAATAACCCTAGCTGATATTATTCCTTTCCTGAATACAGCTCTGGTAAAAGACACCTAAATTTCAGGATAGGAGCTTCCTATAGCAGGATTACTAATAATTAAAACAAACTACTTATTTCACTGAAGATTTATTTCATTACACTTACTGGATTTTCTATCTTCTCTCCTTCTACGTGACCTTCTCCTTTGACTTTTGTCTTATCTATGTCTATAGGTACAGCTTCCAAAGCCATTAGGAGACATGGTATCAGCAAAATACATCGTTGGGGTAGGAGAGATCGCCACTTCATCTGAAATGAGATCAAGTCACAAAAATTAACATGAATGATGTTATCATACTATTTGATTAGAATTATTTGATGTTCCTATATAGACACTTGGAATAACCTACTTTCCATGTGTTCTGCTATTCTCAGGGAACACTACAACTCAAGGAATTAAATATAGCATTAATTTTAAAGGCTTTTATGACACAAGCAGATTAGCTGACCATTGTGCACACAGCAGTGTTGCATTGCAGACAGGAAGAGGTGTTCATGTACTTGCTTAGGATGGCCAAGTCTTGGATAAATAATACCAGAGTTCCTACTCTGATTCGTGTTTGCTGAAGTAATTGGCAAATTCTTACAGATAATCACAGCACTGAATCAGATCCTAGAGTAGTAATGCTTACAGTCCTTATGCTTCAGCAGTGAAGCAAGTTCTTAATCTGGAGCCAAGATCCTCTCCAAATTTTATTTGCAAGACAAAATATTTTATAAGCCATATTGTCTGTTTCATGTTGACTGAGACTCCCAAAAGAAGCATTTGATTGAAAACACATTCATTCATTCAAAATCTATTAAGATAGAATACTTTAACAGTGTGAGTTCAGGAAGAAAAGTAAATGTGGTAATCCAGCATCTAACTGTAAGTACTTCTCTGAAGACAATTCATCCAGTACTGTGAAAGTGCGGAGTCTTTGGCTATGCTACAGAAAACTTCATCAAATTCCAATATTAAGTTAGCAATATAGATAATTTCCTGCTTAGTGAAACTTGTCAGTTAAATGCTGTCTATGCTTAGCTCAGATATGTGAAAGACACAAAATGCAGTCAAATCTAAAGTATGCCTGCTTCAAGAATAATTCCTGTGCAAATGCTTTAACTAGTCATGCAAGTAAATCTAGCAAAAAGTATCCAGATCCAATGGCGATGATTTTATCTGAGGGGTGGTAAGTTAGGGGACAAATTTTAATTATGGTGTCAGTGCCCATTTTCCTGACTACACATACTGGTAATCGACAGTGGAGCACTACCTTTGCTTGGATTAAGTTGCCCCTTTACTAAGGCAATAAACATGCATAATGACAGCTTCTTAATTTAAAGTATTGTTGACATCCTTTATTCATATAAGTATTATGTAAAAGAATGCACTCTTATTAAGAGAAAAAAAAAAAAGGGGGGGAAATGCAGAAGTATTATTCTACTGTTGGGGAACTATGGAACAGCTGGAGGTAAAAATACACCCATTTCTTTTCTTTTATATCAAAGGCTTGAGAATTACAAGGACTCTCTGAAACTCTTTTAAATACAATCTTAGCAAAAAGAACCTAAGTGGATTCTGCTCAGTAATAGCAAACATCTCTTATTTTTGAAATTACTAACATCTGACCATTGCCAGATGGGATGGCAAGAGCTACTGCTGCTGTCACAATGAGAGCACTAGATTCAACATCAGCACTACTGGTCAGTTCCCCATTAGAAACTCAGATCGACTTTGCCATTTATTTAAAACAAACAAAACCCAAACTATAAACAGCAAAAATAAAAAGCCCTTAAACTCTGTCGTCCTGAATTGTGCTAGAGCTATCTGCTGCGTTTGTACCTATTAGTGGCACAGCTCATTAGTATGGATAATATTAGTAAATTAATATACGTTACACAGGAGATCAGTTCCTTTAGCAGGCAGACAACCATTAACCTCCCATCACTTATTGTTACCTGTCTAGCACAGCCAAGGTCATCTAAGCTTGTCCTCTTTTTCTCCAAAAGTAGATTGCCATGTCTGGTGTTAAAGCTACTCTCTGAACACTGTTGCATGTTTATTTATTTGTAAGGTGTTGGTTCATTTCCAAAGCAGACTGAGGTGCAGTTATGAGTAAGTCAAATTTTGCATTTTACTTGTCTTTTCAGATGAAAAAGTAAGGTAAACACTTTGTTGGTATCTGTCAACCTGGTGCATTTGAAAAATAAGTAGGAGAAACCTGAACCTTAGAACGTTTCTGGATGAATAACCAGGACAATAACTTCTCTAAATGGAAAGTATTATAGTATAAAAAGCAAACAAACAACAACAAAAAACAGGCAAAACAAAAAGCTGAAATTCTGTAGGATATTAATGGGGCATCTAGGTAAGAGAAGGGATCTGAGATGGGCAGCTGGAGCTGTATCATCCTCAACTCCCCATAGTAGTCACAAAGCTTGTCTATCAAAAGCTGTAATCAAACTGATTGCCACTGGATCTTCTGGCTTTCAGTGGGATTTCTGCTTACAGGTAATTTAGGCTCCTCTGAAAGTACCAGCCTCTGTAATTACGTGCTGTTATACATAATGGGAAAGACTGGACATACCACAGAATGTTTTTATTATCTATTTGATGCGATACACTGCTCTGGAAACAACAATAACAAAAAAAGGCTTTCTAGTGCCCATGAGACAGTTTTGTTTCAGACTGTGCATAGGATGGCTTTATCATCAGCATTTTGATAAAAGCAGGCCAAAAAATATTCCAGAAGTACTAGAAAGAATCAGAAGCAGAGAAGATCTAAATGGATAACAAGATGTTGCAGCTGACTTCACGGACTATTATGTTATACTCAGGATTTCCAGTAGCATTTTGAGGAACTCACCTGGTTATACAACCTGTGCTATAACAAGTAAGCTGGAAATACATTATTAAAGAAAAAAATAAGTAACAAGTGCAGATGGAGTTACTGTATTTAGTTTTCCAGTAATCCAAGACAATATTCATCAAAGCTATCTCTCTAAGAGCAGATGACTAAGATGTGACTTTAGACAGACACAGTGACAGCCCAAAGTGACAGTCACAACTGAGTCACGTGCTCTACACTGATGCGTATTAGGAGAGACAAGTCAGTCCCACTGTGAAGCCTGACATTAATCAGCTGCAACAGACAACTCAGCATGATTTGCAAATTCAGCAATTAGAGGGAAGTGACGAGAAGAAAAGGGGTGTTTTGGTTTTTGTTCCTCTTAACTTTACTACTAAGAGTTTAACCCATCTTCAGCATGCTATCAGCTACCTTGAGCAGTTTCTGACCATTGGGAAACCCACTTAGAGATGACCATCCCTCCCAGGCATTTTACTATGACTCTACAAGGCTGACTAGAACAAGGATCTAGTTTCCTCTGTAAGGACAAGGAGCCACCAAAACAATTGACAGTCTCAGTGCTGCAGAAGAAAATCAATGTCAATTTGGTCACTGCCATGAGTGATACATAATGCACAGTATATATCCTTGTGCTCTGCCATGGGGTGCCTTGCTCTAGCCTATTATTAACTACTATTTCTCTTCCTGCTATTTAATAATTTAATAGAAACATGAATTTTGCCCAGCTGACTTCAATAATCCAGTGGGTACTTTGTAAACAATATGTGAATGAGGCTAATGTTACAATTTTCATCTGGAAACCAAGCAGTTCTAGAGAAAAACACACAGTTCACCCAGATAGAAAGGTAGTGCACCTCTAGTCTGCTCTTATCAAAAATATGCAAACTTAAATTTCCAAATTAGCTAAGCATTACAATGCTAGGGAGATAAATATTCATACCTCATAAAGAGAACTACTCATAAAGTAATCCTCTAAGGGTGATAAACACTGCACTTCATAAACAAAGCCAATATTTTGGGGGGAAAACAAAAAATCAGAACTTCTCTGAGCAGAAAGTATTTAAAAAAAAAAAAAAAACAACAAACTCTTAGTGAGAGTACAAGAATGAGGTAGCAGAAAACAGAGCTACCCATGTACTTGCCTGGACAGAAAAATAGAATTGGAAAAGAAAAAAGAAATAGGCTGTCTGCCAGCAACCTTGATCTTGATCCCAGTAAACATAATCAGAGATTCCTATCAGCTTCAATGGAACAGAATCAGGCACTGGAATTACAAAGAGCTATGGCCTTTGAAAAATATGTACAAAATGCAGCTTCTAAAGCTTGCAACACGAACACAAGCAGCTCAGTATGGCATTAGCACACCTATTTTACACAGCTTCAGACGTACTTCTCATTCACTTAATAACTATTGTTCAGAGAACAGCACAGATTCAGCTGATATCTCCATCACCTTCCTAGCAAAACAACAATTATTTTTTATATAAGTAGTGCTCCGTGTCAAATTTTCAAAGGCTGAGATGGGTGAACTCATACAGTGATATCAGTGTACAGCGCCTGCAGATGATACGAAGCAGAACAGCACAGAGCTGTAAGTGTTGTTACACTGCATGTGTGTACCTGCCAAACCAATGCGTGCTGATGGATAATGTCATCATTAACACACAACTGCAGAACAAAAAAATAAGCCAACCTATTCACACATTTGAAGCACTCGTGTTCTGTCTGATATGCAAATAATTAAGCCTATGTAAGCAACAGAGCATACATGCAGGATGATAGCAATACTCTCAATAGTCATGTCTGTACCATGACTTCCTATTTTAATGCTAACATTCTTCATGGGAAATGCTGCCCAAAAAAACAGAAACAAAATGGGTGATACAGTAGATCTCATGATCCTCATCTTTCTAAGAATATACTAAACTCAATACTAGAATGGGAATGTTACAAATAGATATATGAACCATGTAAAGCACTCCCTCAGAACTTTCAGCTAGCTCTCTCAACAATATACCTTTCCTTACAATTTTGCAGTTTAAATAGTGTTCAATTTCACATATTTTTTCCACTTCTTTAAAAATTATTTGAAAAGATATATATTGATTAGCTCACCAATTCACTAAAAAGACACTTAAAATGTGTGAAATAGACATAAACAGATTATTATTCTGCCACATTTTTTGGTCAGAAACACCTGACATAACAGTACCTTCATGTTCTTTCAGGAAGACTTGCTGCATGACTACTGTAAGCTATCATACCTTAACCAAAGACAGAAGTTAATGAATTTAAAGGTAATGCATCTGCTTCACAGCATCTGTCCGTAAGTTGAACGGGTATTAGCACAGCTAAAATATGGCAATAATTTGGAGAAACAAGTGTAAAAGTCCCTTTCAGCTCATAAGGCTATGCTAAAACTCTCTTTCTACTGAAAATGTCCTTTTATCAGGACATCAGACTTGTAGATCTAGATTTCTTAAAGACATGCAGAAAACAAGGTGCTAAAATCTGCACTGCTTTTTGCTTTACAGAGGTTATCTTCCAAATTACAAAATCATCTGCACGGGTTTCTTCCTGTATGAGATTTAATCCTTTTAATAATTTTACATAAGCACTGTTTTCTGTCACTCCTCTTTCAGTAAATGTCCCTCCCACACAAGACAGAAGAGTTTTCCTTTCATTATTTTTTCTCTGATTCAGACGTTCACTAGCAATTCCCAGCAGGTTTCAATCTGCAGTGCTTTCCTAATCTTTTGCTAGAGTTTAGTTTGCACTGCACAAGAACATGCTCTCATTTTTTGAAGCGTTTACTTAATAAGACTGCACATAAATATAGCTTTACTTAATATTACTGAGATACATAAAGATGGCAGAATCCTTTCTTCTCACCAGTTCAGCTGTTTTATTAAATGAGTCACCCAAACGATAGGAGATGCTATATAGGAATAAAAATACCAGTGTTCCAGTTTGAAAGAAGCAAATACTATTTACAAGGCACCTATATCCAGAAATAATGATGGCAGAGAAGCAAAACATGCACAGCCTGCTCTTACACATGCACAGCTCCGCTGTAAGTAAAGCCTGAAAAGACAACTGTTTTTTCCTTTTTGTGGCAATGTTAATAGTTCACTATTTCAAAACCCATGTGCACACAAATGCACGTACATGTTTATATGATACTTGCCTCCAAGGAACCATAAACACTGTTTTAGAAAAACAGTATCAGTTTCTGTGCAGCTATCTTGCAAACTGAAGACTGCTGAAATATTGGTCTTGTTTTCAAAAGGAACCTGCTTGATTTTATCACTTGTTACCAGGAAAGCTGGCTCAGAAGAAAAGATTTATGAAACTAATACGCAAGCAAAAACTTACATTGAATTCAGTGATAAAATTCTTACACACTTCAAAAGCGAAGTAAACCAAAACAAAGCAAAATAAACCTACTGTTAATACAGCTTCCTGTACTACAGCAAAATACACAGAACAAAATACACCAGCAAACCTGGAATCTCACAGATCCAAATCCATTTTGTATAAATGAGAGCAGCAATTTTGCTACTGCTGGTATAAAAACCAATCTAATTTCCAGTATGTCACCACCTGCAACACAGATATTGCTTGGAAAAGTTTGCTTTTACTCTCACCTCAAATAAAAAATCCTTTCAAGAAGTCTATGGGATCACCCACTAGTACACGTTTTGCTCTAGACAACAAGAAATGATCTTATTAAATTAAACACTGATTGCATCAGGACTTCAGTAGCCTTTTTCCCTTTGGACAGAAAACAGTACATAGCTAACAGGAATTAGAACTAACATGGAGCCGGATGTAAAAATATTCAACCACTTAATGATAGCTGCCGTCATTTTCTAATTCACTTGGATTTCTACACATTTAAGAATCCAAATGTGCCAAAAGATCTCGCTCTTGTTTTATAAAGAACACAAAGCATCAGAAATGTAATAACAAAAATGGACTACACGTTTCCTGAATTACCTATGATGAAGACATATTTACCAGTGTAAAAGTGTTCTAACCATTTTCTTTCATTTTTCCAACTGTCAAGCCATGCATATAAGAATCAAAACTACTCCTGTTGAAAATTAACATGAATTTTGCCCCTAATTTCATTTGATTTGTCTTAAGTACTCAGCAGTATTTTAAGCTACAGGTAAGAATATCCCTATCCAGAAGATTTCTGTCTGTCTGTTAGGTATCTTACAGGAGCTTTCCAGGATCTCTTCTGCTTGCTGAGCAAACGAATAGGGAAGGAGTTTATTAAACAAACACCACTGCTGCACAGGAGTTCATAACAAGGCAACATTGATACAGGCTTTCAACTTCTTAGTAAAGGATTTTATCTTTCTTTTGTAAAGCATGCTTGTTTAGTCAGTATATCACTAGAAGTATGGGTCAATATTTTCACACTTCTGACATTTGAGTCAATACTAAAATATTTTACATTTTTTATTATCACTAAGAACTGCTGTTCTTCCCCTTCACAGATCCAGTTTAAATCATGTATGTATCACATGGGGGCAGCTTTAGACATAAAACTTTTAACTTGGCTTAATATGCTTCAAAAGTTTAGGCTTAGCAATACTGCTATCGCTTTGCAGCCCAGATATGGCAAGTCACCCTTATTCTTATTCAGCAATAATCTTTTCACAGAATCACAGAGGTTGGAAGGCACCCTTTTTTGTTGTTGTTGCTTAGTTTGTATTTCCTTGAGGGTTTTTTTTCTTAACATTATTTCACACCAAAGTAATCAGTTGCCAACCTCTATTACAGCATCAAGCCAGAAGCAAATTCACACCTGAGGAGTTATTGTATTTAACCAGATTAATAGTTTCAGTCCATGGCACATCTTGTGCTGTGACTACGAGATCAGGGTGCAGCAACTGATGGTAAGAGATATAAGTGGATCTTAAGCATTCACACAAACATGGGCCTTTCTCAAAATCTTTTCTGAACCTTAAGCAGAGGTCTATAAAAGTTATAATGAAAGGTGCTTTCAAATAAATTTTGAGTGTCTTTTCACAGAATCATAAAAAGGCTTAGATTGGAACAGGTCTTAAAGATCATTGAGCTCCAACCCTCTGCTGTCAGCAGAGTTGCCACCCACCAATAGATCAGGCTGTCCAGGGCTGCATCCAGCTCCGTCCTGAGCACCTCCAGGACGGGGCACCCACAGCTTCTCTGGGCAGCTGTACCAGGACCTCACTGCCCTCTGAGTAAAGAACCTCCTACCCAGACCGAGGAGTAGAAAGCCTTCCTGTGCTCACCAGGTTAGGTGAGAGAGACAGGCACTGCAGAATCTGGATAGAAGTGTTTCTATACTGAGTCACCTACGGGATTTTTCTTCAGTGTGTGAGAAAAGTAGATGCCAAAGAACACACAGCAACTCTCCAGGCTAAGCTCAGCGCCATGATGCGCTCCCGCTGCCCTAGTTTTGGTGCGCTGATGGTCTAATCTTAGAAATGCCGGGCTTTATTTCTCTACAGCAAATACAACTCAGACAACAGATGGTATTTCTCGTGTCCTTCTTTATGACCACGATTCCACGCTTTCTGAATTATTTTTTGAGCTTGCGCTACAGAATCTTACTTAGTTCCTCCAGTAGCACTATAGCAGGCACACCGTCAACAGGCATTTCTAGCGAGACCATCCCCGTCCTTGGGACAAAGCAGCCGAGGTTTCCCCGTGGTTGCGCAATGCCGCCCATCGAGGCGCGCTGCTGCCAGGTGCGCCTCAACTCCTCCTGCTGCTTTGAAGAGAGCCGCTCGCACGCCCACCCGCGGGGCTGCCGGCGCGTTACTTCCTGAGGACCGACACCTCCTCCCCCCTCCGCCGCTGCTTCACCCCGGAGGCGCCACAGAGCCCCCGCCTCAGGGCGCCGCTCCGCCGCGCCGCCGTTATTTCGAACCTGACAGGAGTGGCGGCCGTTAAGCGCCCGCCGCGGAGGGCGCCCCCCCCTGGCCCGGCCCGGCTCGGCCCCGCGCGGCGGCCAACGGCTCTCCTGACAGGAGCTGCCCCGCGGCCCGGCCTCCGCTGCACGCCTCCCGCCCGCCGCAGGCCCGCCAGCGAGAAGGCGATGTTACCTTGCGTCCCGGCGGCGTGAGAGGAGCCGCTGCCTCTCCGATGGAAACCGCGCGCGGAAGTGAGGAGCGGGAGCAGCCCCCGGGGGTCCCGCCGAGGACCTGCGCGTCACGATGCGGCAGCCCGGTGGCGTTCTGGCGGTCCGGGCTCTCGTTTCCATGGGGACAGATCCCGCCCCCGGGAGCGCAGCGATTGGCCAGCCCTGACCCCCTCCCGGGCGTCGCGGAGGGCTCTGATTGGGCGACGCTGCGCGCGGCGGCGTGATAGCGCGAGAGGTGGGGCGCCACCCTCTGAGCGCTGAGGTACGTGGCGGTCGCCGTGAGGCGGGGCCGCGCGCTCCTGGCGTCAGCGGGAGGCGGGTGCGCTGTAGCTGTTGGGGCTGGGGGTGCGTGCGCCGTGTGGGAGCGGGAAAGGGGTGGCGGGAGGCGGCTGTGGCGGGTGGGCGCTCTGTGAGGAAGCGCTGTGCCGTCCAGCCGCGGGCGGAGCGTGCGTAGGAAAAATTATTTTTAGAGAGTGGTTAGACAGTGGGTGTAATTTCTGGAATAAACCTTGATCCTGGTTGCGTCTACCGTGTTTTTTTTACTTCTCTGAGCCTGCAGCTGGTTTTTGAGCAGAAGTATTGCATACAAATTCTTGGAGGACTCGGTGTCTGAAAGTCGCTTCTGGAGAATCTGTTGCAGCACTTCATGCAGATGAGAGAAATGACTGGGATTTGTGTGGTACCCAGTGAGGTACTTGTGCTGCCACCAGGTTTTCAGTGCTTGCTTACAGTGGGCATTGAAATTCCAGAGTGGTTTTGGAAATCATAGCTTCTGGTTTGAGCGTGTGGGAGAAAAATGGGAAATAAACTGTAATGATGACATCTGTGGTAGCAGATAGCTGTTAAAGCAGTCGGGCTGGTGCTGCTCAGGCCTTCCCTCTCCCAAGGAAATGCTGTTCGTTCCTATCCAGTCTTTTTCCACAGCATTTTTCGCTTAAGAAACAGGTCTGTGGTCAGTCAGCATTCTTTGTTAGCTTGTAGATGACTTTCGAGACGTGGAAGTGCTGGATTCACGTGAGCACTCAGCGATGGCAAGCGGCTTGTTCTAATATTCTGAGTAGCCTCATTGCTGGAGCAGCTGAAGCAAGCATGCAGTGATACTTTTAGTTGAAAGCACGCCAAAAATATGCGCAAGAAGAACCTGCAAGCTTGCAGCTCTGTGTTCTCTGTGGGTTAACCACAACGTTGCACAAGGAGAGTTGGTTGGGATCGCTCCTTTGGACTTGTCACAAGCTCTTCAAATATGACTGGTTCTTGGCAGGGGGACTCGTCCTGACTGTGTGGCTGGGACCCCGTGCCAGCACCTACATGCTGTCAGGAGCAGTACCTGCTGTAAGCTCACACAGGAAAGGGCTGGTGTTCTGGCTCACGTTTCACTACAAGTGACTTTGGCCTGCTGGGAATGCAGTTAGCCTTGCCTTTGCAGCCTGGTTTAATGTTAGAGCACAGCTAGGCTTTCAGTGATGTGGCTACATGAGTGCAGTTTACCCCTCTGCTTGCTATGAAGACTGAAAGAAAGAAGTCTGTGCATCTTTTTCCCAGTAAGTGTGCCAGTTTAAGGAGCTCCCACCAAGTTTCCCTCTAGCCAACCTCACAATGCTCTGCCACACTGTTTTGTGTTTGAATAGTTGTTTGCAAGACTACAAGATAAATCAGTTTGTTGCTGAGTATTTAAAACATATGCTGCTTTTTTTTTTTCTGTCTCTGCTGGGAGCAGGAAAGAAGAAAATTAAGGGAGAGAGATGGAACCAATATTGGCATCAAAGGTGAAGCTTTGCGGAAGCGTGCCCTTGATCTGATGGTAGTAGAGGACATCCAACGCGATTTTCTCTTGTGATGCTCTATGCTGAGCTGATCTGGTGTTCTTGAGATTAAAATATCTGTGGGCAACTTACGCAAACAGCCTTTAAACCGTCAGGGTGCTTGGGCAGCGTTCCTATCACTATTGACCTGATCGGTGTGTGAGATGCCCTGGAATACAGGCAAATGCATCTTGGTGTATGCTGAGAGATTAAAATACGCTCACTTTAATGCATTGTCCAAGCATGTTGTATTATGTGTTCCTGCTTTATTTCTATTTCCTGCTTTCTTCTATTATGAGTTACAAGATGGTGATACACATTACAATAGATTCTTCTTTTTCCAGCTATTGCTTTTCTCCCCATGCTTAATTCCTGTATTTCTGTGGGGGATTTTTGGGTCCCTTTAGTTCAGTTCTCTACTGACTTTGCCCCCTTAGCTTCTGAAGCTATTTGGTTTAGGATATGCTTTTTAGATTCTTAACTGTTATTTCAGTTTCAACATGCAGGAAGTTGCGAGGTTTGAGAACTGCTTAGGATTTCAGTATTGCAAAGCAGGCAGTTAATTTAATCTGATATTGAGAAACATTTTCTTAAATGCAACATAGCAATGGTAGCCTACAAGTCTTCCTACTCTGCCATGTTTATCCGTTATGTTAAAGTAAACAGGTGGAATATGATGAGGGCTCCTGGATACTAGTGTGCTTATTTATAATTTTATTTAATAGAAGGTTATTGATATTTAGACTTGCATCAACAGAGCAGAGAATTAGGTAATCAAATGTCTCTGATGCGAGAGCCTTAAGTCCTCACTCCTAAGACTTCCTCTGCTATGTCTCTGCTCTGTGATGCTTCTTTTGCCATTAACAGTGGCAAATATTATTTCTTCAAGGTGGATAGAAAGGCCAACTCATTAGCCAGCTGGTAATACCAAGGCTGTCTTGAGTAAGTGTTGATACCACTTTATTTCACCACACAGTCTGTCCACTGGAAGCAACGGTAGTGACAGTAGCCATGTTATAGCCAGAGAATGCTTTTTCCTTTGAGGTAGGAAAACACTGCTAGAAATGAAGGGGAGAAAATAAGCTTATTCTCTGTGCTTCTTTGACCACAGTAATGCTGTTATTGAAAAAGTCATGCTTAGCTAGCACAGCATGTGGTTTCCTGTGATGTGTACAAGTACCTGCTAGCCACTGAAGTGAGGCTGCTGAGGTAATTTTCTGTTTCTCAACAGCAATGAATCAATACATATAACCACAGACCTGACATGGAAATGAAAGAGTAATGGTAAACTTAAGAATGTTGTGGTTAAGTGCCTAATTTGTCCAGTGCAGGGAGGCTGTGGATTTCATATGAAAATGGCAGGCAAGAATGCAATTAATCCACTGCTGAGACTCTGCTGTGCCTCTTATTTGCTTGAGGAGGCACTGATTTCAGAGAAGTCGTGTGAGGCTTCTGTTAGCTTAGCATATGGACAAAATGTTTTCTTTTTCTTTTGTACTTAGGCCTGGAATTTTTCCCCAGTTTGAATAAGTACAGCTCACATCCTCCCTGATAAATACTGTGCAGGTTTATCTGTGTATGTAAATAGTTGGAAATGCTTTATCTTCACTAATTTGTCAGTTAGGGTCATATTCTGACTTTCTGGACACTGTTCTGTACAAGTTATATATTCTGGTGGGTGTTGGCTTCTGTTGTAACAAGTTAGACTTTCAACAAAATTGCTTCCTTATGTTTAAGCCATGGTACAAATTTCTTCAGTAAAATGTATGCCTTACTTTAGCAGGATTCCTAAGTGAAAACTCAGTGAGCTTCAGGCTGTAACCAGTGCTTCACAAATCAAAATGACTGTGTTTTATATATAATTTCTTAGTCTGTCTTTCCCTTAGGCGGGGAGGAATATTTGCCTCAAAATGTGCCAGATCTTTTGTTGTTGCATCGTATGTAGATGTTCTCACTCTAGTAGATAGTATGTGGATCTGATTTATTATTTACAATACAACTGAGATGAATTTACTGACAAATCTTTCTATTGTAGAACTGCAGTAGCTTTGTGTATTAATTTTGGCTACTACAAGCCAAATAAAATGTAGAACATAAGACTTTGGATAAGGTGACTCAAAAGCAGCAATTTAGAATTGAAAATTGCTGTCACTTTTAAGGAAATCTTCCAGCCTGGGTTGAAGGAGTATTTCTAACTTGTTGCCTTTTAAGAAAAGCTCTTCCATCATGACAACTGTTCTGAACACAGCTTGAGATCTCTGCTCTCAGTAGTAGAAAAAAGCAAGCAACAAGGTCTTGTAGTTCTAGAAACAAATAACCAATGTCTGAAAGTTGTTATCTGTCTTCTCTCAGGTCCTATGCTGTTGTAAGCCTTGCTGCTGCTTTGTATGGAGAAGGCTTCCATCACTGATTTGACTACTTTAGGATTGTTTTCGTGCTCTGACAAGCTGGTAAGTACTCTAACTTTGTTTTCTGCACAGCTACTTCATTTCAGACTTTTAACTGAAGGGTGGAGAATTTCTGGGTGGAGTAGATCCTTGGCTATCTGGGGCTGTGCTAATGTCCCTTCCTGTAATCAGTGGCCCATCTGGTGGTGTGACTGCAGCAGGGGATGGGATGTGTGCCTATCTGGTGGCTGGGAGTGCCTGCAGTTTGGTCTTGGTGGATCTGCTTCTGGTCATGTCATGTGATAAATTGGAACAAATTACTAAGTGGGTTGTTCTGGTTAGTTATTAGAGACATCTTCAACCTGTATTGGTGTTAGTTATCATTAAATTACATGTAACAATAATGTATTTATTGCATCTCCTGAGGAGCATTTTGTTGGACTAGTTAATTTGAAGAGGTACGGATGAAATCCATCCCCTAACACTAAGAAAAAAAAAAAAAAAAAGGTACAACAAAGAAGAGTTATCCTTATTACCAAACTATTTATTCATAGTAGCAGGAACTCTAGGACCCCTTTATTTTAGGTGCTGAACAGCTCAGGCAGAGCTACATCTTTATGAAACTTTGTAAACCCATCCTGTGTTATGTCATCTTCTGCCTGTCCGTTCCTGGGCTTGTGCTGAGTTGTCCTTCTGCTGCAGATTTTGTTGTGCAATATATTCACTATTAGACTGACTTTTTGAGTTAAAAATGAAAAAAAGTAAGAATTTGTCTGTTTCTGTGTATTGTAAGTGAAAAAGAAAAGTTCTGTGAATGTAGAGTTGGAAAGGAGGAGGATAAATGTTTTCATGATATAAAATTTTATTTACTGAATTTTAATATGGGGCTACTCTAGAACAAAAATATTAGTCTGATTCATGAGGCT